CTCCTCCTCCTTTTCCTTCTTTTCCTCCCTCCTCTTCCTCTTTCTCCTCCGCCTCCGCCTTCTCCTCCTCCTCCTCCTCCTCCTCCTTCTCCTCCTCCTCCTCCTCCTCCTCCTCCTCCTCCTCCTCCTCCTCCTCCTCCTCCTCCTCCTCCTCCTCTTCCCGAGCCAAGAAGCACCCTGCCTGCCTCTGGGGTGCCCCGTTGTATGCCTAGCTGTCGGCGGTTGTTGCGATGGGAGGCGTGGCGTTTCCGCACCAGAAATCAATATTGACGTCCCGGGGTCTGAGGCTTGGATTTTTGGTGGAAGGTTCCCTGCGGTCGGAAGGTGTCTTGCCGCGGAGCCCCTACTGCAGCGGACGATGAGCGGCGTCTCATCAGGGGAGGGTGAGGCGAGACAGCGGGAGTCGGCCTTCGGGGGGCCCCCCTCGTCGTCACGGCTGGGCGCAGCTCGGAAGACGGGTGCGTCAGGACCCCTGGGAGGGGTCCGAGAACCGATTGTGACCTGCCGTGGCCTCAGCCTCAGCTCGCCCTGCTGCGAAACCGGAACAGGCTGCTCCGCCGTCGGGCGCGACTGTCCCAGGGCGGCAGTTTCGGAGCGGTGTCCTTACGTACGTTCTTCGCCTCTGGGCTCACCATCTCGGGACGTCCTTCGTCTGGGACCCTCCATGGGGCCCTGCTCCCGCGGCGATGAGTCTCGTACTCTCATCCACGCTCTCGTGGTCCCGTGGCGCTGAGGGGCCGCTCAGGATGGGGGAGGCGGGGGGGAAGAGAGGACGGGGAGGAGAAGGAGCAGGAGGAGGAGGAGGAGGAGGAGGAGGAGGAGGCTTTCCAGCCGCCCTGGGACGCGCGTCCCCGGTGTCGGACCAGCTGGCTGCTGCCTGCGCCGCCCGTCGCCCGCCGACAGGCGCGCGGGGCCGCCGCCCGCGAGGTGCCGCTGGGCCCCGGGCTCGTCGCGGGCATGTGCCCGCAGGTCGGGGGCGGCAAACCCAGACCCCCTCGAGTTATGAAAAAATCACGACGCGAGGTTTTTTATGATTTTCGGCCTCTGGGGGCCCTTACCGGCCCTCGGGGCCGTCAAAAAACGACTCAGGACGAAAAACCGGTCCCGGGGAATGGGTCTGGACCTCTGGGGGTCGACGTCATGAAAAATTCATGACGTCGGGGGTCTGGGAAGAGGGGGGTGATGACTAGGGGGGGGTGGATATCATGGCGGGGGCCATGCTTTTTCCCCAGATCTCCTGGCGCCTCGTCTTAGTTCATTACGTCCCTGGCCCCCCCGCTGGGCCGCGCACATGCCGCCGGTCATGATTTGCACCCCCCCCTCTTGGACACCCCCCTCTTGGCCGCTCCCGAGCAGGCGCGGGCAGACTTCGACGCCGACCTCCGGGAGCTCGGGGCAACCCGTGGCGTGACCGCGCGGCTGCCGGAGGGCGCCAATCCCAAAACGCTCGCAGACGGAACGTCAGTGAACGGGGCGGTGTAGCTAAGGGGCCTCTTCGAGCGAGAACAGGGCGACAGGAGATTACCTCGCACTAGTGCGTGATAAATCGGGACGACAGAAGCGTCGATCATTGGCATAACTCTGGGCGGGGGG